CATAAAATGTCCAATAGATAAGTGTGAAACCATAATTTGTGATGACTGTGAGCTTCTTGAGGACCGAAACCATTTGTTGTTCTATGAATTCTGCAGCGGTTAGTGCGATAGCAGGCATGTAGTTTATGCTTGGCAAATATTGCCTGCATCTCTGGGTGATTGGCTGCATGAAGATTTAGGATCAACTTCACAAAGAAATCAATGACGTTGTGAGTATGGACAAATATGGCCTTCAAGGATAGGGTAGGAAGAAAGAAACTAAAAGGACAAAGTCTTAAGGAACAAATACACGGAAGGAGCTGGAGGAAAACAGAAGCTGATAATAGAGTCGCGTAGGTCAGATGAGGAATTACACCAGAGAGGAAGAAGGAAAGAACAAAGGAAAGGAAATGACAAAGGGAAGGGAAGGGAAAAGGTAAAGAAAAGTGAAGGGAAGGGGAAGGAAGGGGAGAGGAGGGAAGGGTAGGGGAGTGGAGGAGAAAGGAAAAGGGAAAGGGAAAGGGAAATGGAAAAGGAAGAAGAAGAGAAAGGAAAACGGGAAAAGAATGGAAGAAAAAAGAATAGAATCAGAGGCCCTAAAGAAGAAGAAATAGTACTTATTCATCATTTGAATGCTTTTATCTATAAAGACTCAAATGAGAAAAAAAAAATGGATGCAAAAATTACAGTCACATTTAGAGAGCAAAAATGAAAATCATTAAAATGTTTCCTTAATAACTTAGAGTAAATAAATTAATAGCTCCTGTCACATTGATTCATCTATTGCATGTGGATACTCAATAAATGTTAATTGAATTAAATTAATAACAGTTGCTCCAGTAATAAAAACTTAATTAACTATCTTTGCTCTTAAGTTTATGCCCATTTGTTCTTGCAATTACCTGTAGCCCAAACATGAATTTTCTATTTCACTGATGTTTAAGATTCACTTTAATTTTTTTCTAAGAAATACAGATAAGCTTCTATTTTTGTCATAATTTTGGTTTGTTTTTACTATTGGTAGAAGTTATTTTCTCTAAGCTAATGTCAAGAACTATGTATAACACCCCAAATATAGTTTCACAAGTTCCTTATTTAACTCTAAAATAATTTTCACTGCAGAAGATGTGATACCACTTTTTATATGTTTCTCCTTTGAGCTTATGCTACTTTATAGTACTTTGGGTGCAATGTCAAATAATACCATAAAGGAAGGAATCTGAATCTGAGGAAATTATTGTTAGCATCATCTATAAAAGATGGAAGATGTCAGTAGCATTCACCCAAAAATTGTGACTCATTTCAGATGTCACAATTCTGGGTTGAACAGACTGGGTTCTCAAATGTGTGTATGTCAGATGATTTTCTAATGAGCAACAGATAGTTCCCACTGAGGAATGAAAAAAAAATAAAAATATAAACAGAGACTTAGAATTAAAATAACTTTATGAATGGCAGTTTAACTTCTCCATAAAATTCTCTCAGTACAAGCCTAGTGTGCTCCAAATGGTTGCTTAATGTAGCACACCACTTACATTCAAAATGCTTTACTTAAAATTGTCACAAAATTAAAAAGAGAATCGTATACCACTTGGCTGTATACTGTATTCTCCGCATGTTCTTACATTCCAGTAACCTCTATCCAACTTTTTTTTGTTACTGAATTACTTTGTGCAAAAGCAATTTAAATTACATGCAGCCTGACTACGTGTGATAATTTGAACTGATTGTTAATTAATTCTGTTAAGTAAATAGCTGCTGCAATCTCCATACTCATCAAGGTCTCGTTATCCATCAGCTCTTTCTGGGCTGCTCTCTAATGTGTGGGATAAGGCAGCTGTAATGGAACAAGCAGGATTCCTTGAGTGTGCAAAGAAGGTAGTTTTGCTTTGCAAAATCTGCTCAGGGAAACGCAAGTGTGTAAAACTCAACTGTTTGCAAGGCTCAATTTTGGGCAGGTGACATATCACAACATTTAGGGTGACAAGGTTTGCTGATGTGCATTCTCAGTAGTTAGGAAGCAGAAATAAAAGCTAGGAATAAATCAGAGAAAACATTGCATAATATGAAAAGGAAAATGACAAGAACAAAGCTTTTGGAATCCACCAGGCCTAGATTTGAATCTCAGTTCTACTACTGAATAAGGAGGAGGCCTTGGACAATTTACCTAAATAAACTCTCTAAGCTTTGGTTACCTTCATTCATCTGCTAACTGGGGATACCCATTCATACATTTCCCATCTGTTCAGGGAGGCTAACAATATCTACCTCCTAGAGTCTTTGTGATGCTTAAGTTCAATAAGGTATATAAGTGGTAACATAGAACTTGACATAAAATACATGCCGCTCTGTGTGTGTTTGTACGTGTATGTAAAGCATTGGTTTTTCAACCAGGGTGGTTTTGTCCCACAGGGGAAATACAGCAATGTGCACAAACATTTTTGATTGTTATGAGATAGAGTGTCAGGTGCTACTAGCATCTAGTGGGTAAAGGACTACAATACCACTAAACATCCTTCAATCTTTCCATGCCAAAAAATTATCTGGCCCAAAATATTGATGCTGCTGTTAGTGTTCTAAGGTATCATTTGAATGTCCATCTGTCTGCAATATTAGCTGATTACTGGATGCTTTGACACTCAAGTGAGAAAGATAAACTAATTGTTATTTTTCATCATCATCATCATGATATCATTAATTTGGTGAGTCCCTCTTGGGTTAGAGGAAGCTGAATGTTCCCTTATCTGTAGAGCTGATTCTACTTAAATATTCAATAATACATTAATTTCTTTCAACAATAGATGTTTTGTTGAATTCCTATTTGTGCCAATCCTTTTTAGGGTGGATGAAACCACAACCAAGAAATTTAAAGCCAGCACATAAAGGAAAGAGAATGGAAATTAAACATTGTTGAAAACCAAGGCTGTTTGGAAGACCAAACGAAAATGACATAAGAAACGAAAATGACCTAAGATAGTTGTATATATGAGACTGCTAGTTCTGGTGCCAGTTAGGAGTCAGAGAGCAACCATCTTATAACTGGTTTCTGAAAATCACTGATGTACCATTGGGTTGTTCTCTCTCTTTCTCCACTCTCAAATGCTGAAGATCCCTGGCACAGTGGTTCCCAAACTTGTCTACATGTTGGAATCATCTGAGGAGCTTCAAAAATTCCCTTCTCCCACCAAGGGTTGTGATTTAATTGGTCTCCTAAAAGGAGGATACCAGAGCTTTAAAAATTCTGAATTTTTTAAAGATTTCCTAGGTGATTCTATCCTGCAGAAAAGTCTGAAACCCATTGCCTTAGAAGGCAGAACCCACTAGAAATTTCCATTGGCCCCAAACTAAGAAACGACATTGGAAGAGAAATGAACATGGACTTGGCAAGAATGTGTTTCTTGCACTGAGCTGCATAAGCATGGTAAAATCAAACCAGGTTGCCAATAATTATTAATTTCAGTCACTCAATGAACATTACTGAACCAACCCGGCATTGTGTTAGCAATGGGAATGCAATTCCCAAGAACACCTCTTGACCACCTCCCAATTGTGCCACCAAACAATGAGGACTGTTGCTTATTTAGGTTTTAAGTTGTTTCTGGGCATCATTACCCTGGCTGAATGTTTGAGAATATTTTCTTCTATTAACTCTCTTCTCAGTCTTAAGACTTTGCTCAGTGACTGTAAGGAAGTTATAAATTACCTGAACCACTACCCAGTCTGGTCCTCTCTCTAACATGATTTTATGATATGCTTCTCTTTCATACACTTTTCAATCCTGTAACTTACACAGTTATTTACTCGTTGATTTGTTTGCTGCTCATGAAGTCCAGGGCCCATGCCTGTCTTTGTCATCCCTGTATCCCCAATATACAGCCCAGTGCTTGTTGCAGAGCAGACTCCCAATCATTATGCGGCATGAGAATGCATATAGCTGTACCTCAGTGCCTGAGGGGAATTGGTTCCAGGACTCCATGGATACCGAAATTTTGAGAGGCTCAAGTCCATGATATAAAATGATGTAGTATTTGCATATAAGCTATGCATATCCTCCCATATACTTTACTTCACCTCTAGATTATTTATCATACCAAATACTATGTAAATATATAGTATTAGTATAGTGGTTGTTATACTGTATTTATTATTTGTACCATTTTTATTGTTATATTGTTATTTGGGGAGTTTTTTTCTGAATATTTTCTATCTGTGTATCTAGAATTTGTTCTACTGGATATGTGAAACCCACAGATATGGAAGGCCAACTGCATAGGAGATGTAAAATACTTAAGACACTTGGGGCTTCTCAGTCTTCTCCATGGCTCTCCAAACCAGAATCTCAGTCAAGAACTTTGCTAGAAATTCCCTGAACATCTCTAGCAATTGTGCCAAACAGTTACATGGAAATAAAGCATGTTCCCAAGAAGCATACCCTCAAAGGCTTACAAGCTATCTCCTGAATAGGAACTTAAACACCAAGTTAGAAAAAGCTACTGTGAGATTATGAGAACAGAAGCAGGAATAATCTTGTAAACCATTCTTTTATATACATTTTTCTTTTTACAGAGGATGAAAGTGATGTTTGTATAAACAAAGAAATAAGGTGACTTGATTGACATCATGCGAATAACTCAGCAGTACTGCCCATCATATAAGATCCTTATCCTGCTCCTCAGATTAATAATACACTATGACAGGAGGCTAGCAACATACTGTGACATTTTGTTGATCCAAGTGAATGAATTGCTTGATTTGCCCTACTCATCACCAAAAAAAAAAAAAAAAAAAAAACCAAAGAACTGAAAAACAAACAAACAAACAAAACAAACAAAAAACACAGTAGAAATAAGTATTACAAGTGACGATGATAGGTAAAGTTTGCAATGTGTATGTAATTTTGTAATAATTGCACTCTTCTTTCGTATATTTTCACTCAAAATTGTTTTGATCAATAATACTTCGTTCTTTTTCTTAAGACTTTAATCTTAGAAAAGTCAAATGTGAAAATTTCTGCAAATGTCTGTTCTTAGGTCACTGGGTCACATAAACTATAGTGGATTTCTGTATGTCTTTTTTTCTTTTTTTGTCTAGATACACAACTCACAAATGAAAAGCATGCAGATGAGAAACCCATTAATGCTATCGTAATAAATTCAGTATCTGAATTCAATATCACAGATGGACCAGCCAAGGAAAACCCCAATGAGAAAAAACTGTCAGAATCCAGCACATCACTGTCCTCCCTTGAAGAATGCCAAACGAATTTTTCCTACCTCCAAACTGATACTTCAGTTCATCACAGAGACACCGATGGTATGTTTCTCACAATTCAACCCATCTCTAAATAAAGCTCCCAACCCCCATCCCCTGTAAAATCATCACATATGCTGTTAGGGGAAAAAAAAAGTCTTTATGAATATTAAACAGCAAGACTTCGATTTGAAAACTCTGGTGAATGACATATGTCAAGGTCACTTTGCAGTTATGAGGTGCTTGGCAGATTGTTTGCTCTCAAAGCTGGGAATCGGAGACAGCGTGTTTTAAATAGCTGGAATGGGACGTAATCATTCTTACTATGGGGCTATGAGGTGGATAAAGAAAAACGGCAAACTTCTTTCTCTCCTCAGATATGGAACTATTTAGTCTATACTTCCGGTCAGAGGGAAGGAGAAGAAGGCAGAGAGAAATAGTATTAAAATGCTGGAAATATATAAATATAGACAGCATAAAATATTAAGATGCTAAACCAGCAATCTATGAGAAAGGGATGGTTTCTCTGGGAGTTATCCCTAGGCATTCTGATCAGTGCAAACCTAGACCAAACCATCCCTATATATGACATAAAGGGTACATTTCATTTGCAAAGCCAATTTCAAATTGATTTGGTGCTAAATAAACAATCAGCCAAATAAAGTTCAAAATTATGGACTCCACACCAAGATATGAAATTTTACTCAGATTAACTTTGCAATGACCTTTACAGGAGACAAGCCATTCAGGAATTTTGTAGTGTTCAGTATCTACATTTGCATTTAACAAAACCTTGGAGTTTCTCAAAGGAAAATGTAATAAGGTAGGGTTTCTGGTCTACATTTAAATTCATATTTACTTTTTGAAAATAAGAAAAAAGATTAAATAAACTTTGAATAACAGCACCTTCGGAATCACATCAGTTTCACTTCTGACTCTGAAGTCTATTAACTGTATAGTACTGGACACGTTTTTTAAACTTACCATCTCTGAATTTCAGTCTCTGGTTATATGATAGGTTAGTTAGCATCATTGGGTATTTTAGGGATCAAATAAAATAACATGTATAAAGCACCTAGTACAAAAGTTGGTACACAGTAGGTACTCAGTGTCAGCCATGATTGTGATTATGGTTTTAGAAAGTAAGGAAAGAGAAGATTTCTAACAATGTTATATACATGGTGTCTTGTGCACATGTGGTCCTGATTGCTTTAGGCCAGAAACTACAGGCTTAATTGCCTGTGGTTGCCTGCCGATAATAGAAATACTAAGTAGGCTGGAAGTAAACAATAGGGACTGGCGAGGACTATGTCAAGCTGGAGAGCACATGGCTTATCTAAAAGTCGCTACCTTGATGCAGTTCCAGCTGATTGTTGCCAGAAGAAAATGCAGGCCCAGAGTTGCCAGATATTGAAGCTTTCCAAGCAAATTCAGAGACCAGGAGTGTTATGTAAAATTTCTAAGCTTTCCAGTGTTTATAATTACTTTAATTTATTTTGCCAAGCTCAAGACACTCCCAACAACCTATCACTGGGCCAACTTTGGCCTGCAGCTATCAGGTTATGACTCTGAATTCAGGATTATGCTCAAATTTCTAGCTTTGGTAGAGACTAATGCCAGTCGAGAAAACAAGTAATGCTGGAGAGGCCTCTGCAAAACCATCTTGATGCTACAGCATTTTATCAAATTTTAACAGGAATGTATGGGTACTGCTCATCACGTGAATAATTGAATTAGGTTAATGATCCCAGAACTGGGAAATGCCATCGTACATATCCACACAGTGAAACATGCTTTCCCTCCAGACCCACTATGATCTGACCTATCAGGGATACTGGAGGAATAAGAGGGGCCAAGCCAACTAGCACGACACCTGAACTCTTGTATTCTCAGGAAAGGGTCCAAATCATTACTCCCTTAAAATGGCAACTGACACTCAAGAGCCTCATGCAAAAGACAAAATAAAAACCCAGAAACAAAAAATAGCTGACTACCCTTCTTTCAAAGAGCAAAGGAGGTTCATGAGGACAATTAAATGAGGTAGTTTCCAGGAAATTCAGGTTGTAAGCTGACCGCATAGGTGATAGTCCTTTTTCTCACACGTGAAAAATCTCCCCAGTGAAGTAATAGCTTTTGGTACCTGGTTAAAGGAGAACAGAAAAGAAGCCAGTCTAAGACCCAAAAAAACTGATAAGAAACTCTCATTATCCTAAACAGCAAATGTCAAGGAAATCAAGAGTTAAGGCGGACTCACTTCATTTTAGAGAATTTTTGATAGTAATTAATTTAAGGATGCAGAAATTGAGAGCTGGGGTCATTGTTCGTACTGAGATAAATACAGAAATATCTTTCAGGAACAGCAGGGAAAACAGAAGGGAAAAGAGAAGATTGCATCCACTTTCATGTAGTTTGTGGTTAATTTATTTTCAAATGTATAAATGAGTGCATAGGAATAGATGCTTAATTGCTAATATCTATTATTTATATACATTGCCCCACTTAAAACAGGATGGAAAAGCCTCACACATGCAGATTTTGTAAAATGTGTTACATCCATTAGCACAGTTCATGGTGTGTGCTCTGATGGGAATTTAAAAGGATCTTTACTGCACATCACACACTATGTGCTGAAACATTACTTTATTATTAAATTGTGGTTCATCGTGTGTGGTCCCTTTCCTGAATAAAATGGGAAAAGTGCAGAGGACTATCCTTGTACCAGCTTCTGTTTCTACAGTCTCCTGATTGTGAAAGCTTCCCTGTGGATAAGAAAATCAGAAATACACATGGTATTAGAAAACAGGCCCCTTAAAAATAATCCTGAGAATGTACCTAATTGATGTATAATTTTGAATTTGAGACATCTCATCTAGGTGGAAGAGGAAAATCATAAATACTAGATACCTCAAAAGAATAGTCTTAATTACACCATGGGCTACTGAATAAAATGATTACATTTTCTACACTGTAAATTTCATACAATTAAATGCACTAGTGTCACCTTATAAAATGTTTCAATTTTATAATTATTTCAGTTCATTTGCTCAGAAAAAAACATAAGCACAAATTTACTTAGTATCACCCAAATCTAGTCATTCTAGTTCTAAAGAACTGACTTGAGTGTTAGTTGTGCTTGTCTGAACTTAAATAGATCTTGACATATTTAAGTAGCTATTAAAATTGATAACATCAGGGATGATACCCCAGCTAGAGAAAGGCATTCAGTCACACTTTATTTATTCCCATTCTATATTACAGACACTTTTTTTAAAGAACTCAGTGTGGGGGAGTGAGAACCAATTATTATACTTTTGGAAACTTTTAGTAATCGGTGGATTCATTGTGTCATGAATCTCACTATGATGCTGAATTCTCTATGATAGCACATTAATTGGACTGGTATCATGTTGGCTCTTTTTTTCTTTGCTTTGGGGAGGAGGAGAAAGGATTGTGATTTGCCTGGGGTCACTTCTGGAAGAGTGATTGTTGCCACTTAGGATAAGGAGTCCTGGGGTATCAGGAGGTGTGCTTCAGCAGCTCAGAAATGCTTCGGGAAATACAGTGTCTGCTCTTGTTCCTCCCACCTCCTAATTGTGGGTACCAAGGTGGCAAGACCCAAAGTTGGGAGGGCAGAGTCAGGAAGTGCAGGACCGTGGCCATGAGGCTGCCCTCAAGCATGCTTGTAGAACCTTCTTGCATTGCCACCTTTTCCACTCTAATTAAACATGATGCTTTCTAGTGAGTGAGATTCTCCCTCCTAACTAACCAGTCCCCAGTTGTACATTTAGCACCTCTGGAAGCTGTGTCAATTCTTCAGTGTCATTAGAGTATCACTTTGCACATCACAGCCTCCATGTCCTAAAGGTACCCTGGGGTGTATAAAGGAAATGAACCCCAAGGGCGTTTTTGTCATGGCTTTTTGCTCACAGAGAAACACCACTGTTGACGATGCAGACTGCAGGTCTCTGATCCATATTAAACCTTCTTTAATTCAGGTTTAAGGAAGGGAAAGCCAGGTAGGCACTTCAATTGTAGTGATTAGAGCCTCTGTCAGGATGCCAGGTGTTCTTTAGAGGAGATTTAAAAAACAAAGAACTTGTGACAAAGTTATTAGAAGAGCAGAAAAGTCAAATACAGTAAACAGTAAGTCACCCAGACATTAGCAACAACAAGAAGCCTCTCCCACCTCTTCCCTCTGTCTCTCCAGATCCCTAGTGGACTCCTATGAGCTTGGAGACTACTAGTAGTAACTGTTGTCAGATAGACTACTAGTCACTAACCTCTATCAGATAGATAGACCACTAGTCACTAACCATTAGCAGATAGATCACTAGTCACTAACTGTTAACAAATAGACTACTAGTCACTAGCCATCACCAGATAGACCACTAGTCAGTCACCAATCACTATCAGATAGGCCACTAGTCACTAACCATTATTAGACCACTAGTCAATGGCATTAGCCAGAGCCACAGAGGGAAGGGCCGTTCAGAGAGAGATGAAAGCAAAGAGAAGATACAACCACTGCCTAAGACACCACCCAAAGCAAGAAGCGGGAGAAGCACCCTGAATTTTCTCATCCTCCTGTTTTACGGGTTCCTGTTACTGCCTCCTACTGGCTGAATCTAGACAGAAGCCACTAAAAGCAACTGGAAAATGTTCTTTGCCAGTCTTGGGAATCCAGCACAGAGGAGGGAATGGAGAGGGAAGCAGGCCACAAGCTGGCAGTGGCCTGTGTCATGCTTAAGTGTGTCAGAAGGAAACTGAGAGTGTTTTATGGAAGGCAGGTTGGCCTCCTAGTTAAAAACTATGGAGAAGTCAGTCTGGGTTCAAATTAAGGTGCTGAAATAGCCTATGTTTCCTGGGGCATGCCTCTTAAACTGTCATTGCCTCAATTTCCTCATCCATAAACAGGGATCATAAGAGTGCTCAACTCAGGGTTATTTGGAGGCCTGTGTAAGCTGTATGTAGAGGGCTGCACAAAATTTGCAATAGCAAAGACATGGAATCAAACTAAATGTCCATCAGTGATAGACTAGTAAAAGAATATGTGGTACGTATACACCATGGAGAACTATACAGCCATAACAAAGAACAAGATCATGTCTTTGCAAGAACATGGATGGAGCTGGATGCCATCATCCTTAGCAAACTAACACAGGAACAAAACTAAATACTACATGTTCTCACCTATAGTGGAAGCTAAATGATGAGAACACATGGACACACAGAGGGAAACAACACACACTGGGGCCTATTGGAGAGTGGAGGGTAAGAGGAGGGAGAGGATCAGGAATAATAACTCATGGGTACTAGGCTTGATATGTAGCTGATGAAATAATCTGTACAATAAACCCCCATGACACAAACTGACCTATATAGCAAATTAGCACATGTACCCCTGAACTTAATAAATGTTTCTTTTTAAAAAGTTTAAATAAGTAAAACAAAACAACGTTACAAAACAAATGTTCTAAATAAGGAAGGGGAAGAGAAATGAATACCTCCCAAAAAAGTTAGAGAGATGCAGAATGGCTTTTGGTGAAATATTTGACACATATAGCAGTGGGATAGAGACCACAGGCTTTGGATCCAGAGAGACTTAGATTTGAATCTGTGCTTTACAATCCTACAGTTGGGAGGATTAGGACAGTCAGAAACAATCTCTTTTTTTTTTTTTTTTTGACATGAAGTCTCTCTATATATCCCAGGCTGGAGTGCAGGGGTGCAATCTTGGCTCACTGCAACCTCTGCCTCCGAGGTTCAAGCAATTCTTCCTCAGTCTCTGTAGTAGCTGGGATTACAGGTGCCTGCCATCATGCCCCGCTAATTTTTTTTTGTAATTTTTAGTAGAGAAGGGGTTTCACCATCTTGGCCAGGCTGGTCTTGAACTCCTGACCTTGTGATCCGCCCGTCTCAGCCTCCCAAAGTTCTGGGATTATAGGTGTGAGCCACCGCGCCCAGCCTAGAAACAATCTCTGAACCTTAGTCCTTGTATCTGAAAAATGAATATTACAATATTTACTTGTTAGATCATTCATTGATTTAGTCACTAAACCAGAGGGAGATATGGCTTTCTTGCCTCTTGCAACATAGATTCCAGTAGGAGGAGGCAACAAACTAATTAGTTTCATGCCATCCTATGGTCAGTGCTATGAAGAAAAAATAAAATAGGTTGCTATGAGAGTTTCAGCAAGGATGTGATTTAGAGGGAAGGTGTTTAAAACTAAAAAGCTAAAGGTTTGAATAGGAGTTGGGTGAAGTTGGGGGGCAGCAGGGTATGCAATGCAGGCAAAAACACAACATGTGCAAAGACCCTGAGCCAGGTGCATTCCAAATACAGCAATTTAGTCAGTGTGGCTGGAGTGATGTGTGTATGAAGTAAGTAAAATAAATCCAGAAGTCAGAGAAATGGGTAGGAATCCAGTCATGCAAGGGTTAGTAGGCGAAGGAAAGGATTTGGCACTTTTCTCTACTAGGATAGTGAGTTGTTTACATTTGGAATTAAAAATATTAAAGGAGCTGATGAATTTGAAGTAGGCTGGTGTGGAAGCAGAGTGTCTTTGCCGGGAGGCTACTGCTGTTGACCTGCTGGTGGCTGACAGTGGCCAGAGCTAAGACAGTGGCCCTGCAGGTGGTGAACAGCTTGCAGATTTCAAATAAGAATTTGAGGTGGAATAAGCAGGACTCAGCGGTGAATGGCATGTGGGGAGGATATGAAGAGGAAAAGCAAAATGACAGAGAATGACTACCAGGTTTCTGCTGAATTCATTTGGGTGTTCAGGAGCCATCCATAAGAGGAAATAGGAGGAGGAACAGGTTTGTAGGACCATGGAGACAGAGATCCAAAATGCAAGTTGGCCTTGGTAAATGAGATGTTTTGAGGATGTTGCAGAAGAGATGTGCAGCAGGCAACAGCATATATGGCATACACTTTTGGATGGGGTGAGAGAAGTGGTGCTAATCATGGGATATGACTTTGAATATCACATTTATTAAACATTAAAGCCCCAGGAAATAGTGCAGGCAAAGAAAAATATACTTATTCGGGACGAGAGGAAATCCAACACTCTTTTCAAACAGTTGCAAATTTTCCCCTGAACTGCTTGTGCTACTTCTGTGCAAACAAAAATGGGCCATATGCAAAACAGTTTTACCTGCTCATGCAGAATTATTTAATATGCCTTTTAGGAAAAGTGTGGAACACACTTGAAAGTTCGGAAAAATCTGTTTTCAATTCATTAATGTTACCATGTTGTTTTTGGGCAAGAGACTCTGCCTTTTAAAACCAAATAAAAAGGACTGACTTAGAAACAGAAAAAAATGGGCTCTATTCTCAAGTGCAAAATAGGGAGGTAGAAGGAAACAAGTGCCAATTTGGCTGAAGGATTAAGCCAAAACTTTTTTTTCTTTTGTAAATAAAATCTGCAGTATACATCAGAAGAGGAGACCTCCAGAGTCTGTGAACTTTGAGGGGACATTGGCTTTTGAACCCAAAGGTTGCATGCCCTCAGGAAATTATAAGAGCACTTTATGAACAGGTCCTTCACACTCTGATAGGACACACCAGCTCCTATCCTTAAGGGCACCTGCATTCCCACCCTACTTAGCTCCAAAGCAAACTTTTAATCTTGCGTGCATAAAGGACAGGATCCAGTGGACTCATGTTTGTATGGTCATAAGCTTGATTAAGTCTCTTTGCACATTCAGCCTGAGGGATCACGGAGTATTCACTTGGAATATTATCTACTGAGAGCCTCTTCTTTGCCAGCGGCTGCTATAGTACTGGTCTTGACATTGCTAAAACTCAATGAGGTTGTATGTCCCTCACCTTTGACCATCTTTTCCTCTTCAGAAAAGCATAGTTGAAACAGTCTATATACTATTTCTAACTTACTCTTGCATTTTTGTGGGCAGTCTGTGGTAACCTATGAGATAGGGATGAGTTGATCACATGCTAAAAGCTGGCTCTACGTGAAGAAAAATACAGCAAATTTGGCAAACAGATGAGTGTGTACACTCTAGAGGTATTGTGGAATATGCGGCCTAAACTATAGATACTGAGTAATGGCCACAGCACCTTCAATAATATATGACAATTAAAGTAGTCATAACAGTCATGATGTGGTTCTTTACCACCATCTTTCTGGGAAGAAAGGAAGAGAAGGTAAGAGAAATAGGATGGAGAGAAAAAATGAAGGAAGAATGATTTTTGTTGACCTATGTCCAAGACTCACCTTAGAACTTTACATAGTGTTTTTACAAGAAACCAAAGTGTCTTTCTTTAAAATATTTTTTCCTTTTCATAGGATGTTTCTGTATTTTTCTTTCGCTTACAGACTAATAAGTATATGAACAATGAAAGAAGAGAGTTTTCTGGAAAATAGAAGGAAATGAATGGGACAATAACACCACTTAGACTCTAAGGCAAAATCTCTTCTATATGCTTACACAGTCCCCATTGACTGAAGTCTGATAACTGAAGTTATTAGCATTCTTACTAATGTAGTAATTAGTAATTACTATATTACTAATAGAATTAGTAATTCTTACTAATATGGAAAAAATAGAGATCCTTATGAAAGTCAAACTTAAATCAATTGATAAGCCCATCTGGAGGAGAAATTTTTCTCCAGTTCACACTAGAATGTTACTTTCAATCATCAATAATCTTCAGATTACTGATTTTAATTAATTAGATAATATATCACATCGACACTTATTTACCCTTTTATGAAGCACTCACACGTTTTTAAAACTTTTTTAACTTAAAGAAAAGTTATAATTTTAACAAGAGAACTGCTACATCTTCTAACTAATTCCCTTTATGGAAACAAAAAACATAATAATCTATAACCCATCACAGCTGTTTGGCTAGAATTACCAATTACCTTCAATGCCTTAGAGATACTTTCCAGATTTTTACAAGTCTGTGTAGTAAATTTTTAAACCAATTTTCTTAAAAAGGATTGATAAGATTTAAAACCTTTTAGGCATATGATGACGTATTTCACTTAAACAACTTGAATATAAAATCAAGGCTTTACATAACTGGAGGGAAACGGAAACAGGGATTAAAAATAAAACACAACCCAAAAGCTGTGATTATTTTAAAAAGCATTTATATTAAGTTTTGAAATGTGCTTTTTGCTTGCACTGGAATATGGGTGTGGCGGATTTATGGGAAACCATGTCGAAAAATAACAAAGCCTGGTGACAAGGAACAGGACATTTGTACAGCCTCTCCTTGTCCCCAACCCTAATTGCTTCTTAAGCCCCATGTATTTGGGGAGTCCCTGCAATTTTCCAGACAGTTGCACAGTTTCCAGAGAAGTAGCTAATTGTGTGACTTCCCAGAGTCTTACAGGCAAAGTAAATAAAGGAGTTTAGAAAAGTGACAGCACTTTAAATAACCAGATTATGTCGAATCAATAGGAAATGCTCAGGAAGTTAATAAAGCAATTACTTAAGTAGAGTGAGTACTGGCATGGGGGTGGGGGAGCTTGAGAGAAGAACGGTATACATTACCCCTAATGTGGATAAATAATTAAGAGTTGGCTATGTAGCTATCAAGTACCCCAGCACACATGCCCGCCATTCATAGACGCCCCCAGATGTGCCACTATTAATTGGCCTTCTCCTTTAAACAGAGGAGTGTGCCTCCTTTATCCTCGCCTGTCTGTTTTGCCAGTTTTGGGACTGTCTCCTGATGCTCCCTGGCACATGCGAAATGGTGTGTACCAAGGTGTGTTGCCCCTCTCACCAGTATCACCACACCTCGGATGAAAACCACTCTCGGAATGATTGCAACTGCAACTGTGACATGGACTGCAGCCTTTTTGAGTCTTGCCACGAGACCAGCGACTGTCTGGAACTGGCCATGGAGATTTCAGAAATCTGTTACCGCTAGCGCGGTGAAGTAACCACGTTCCGGCAGTCCTTTTGGCCACGGTGGTAAATTCCATTACAGCAAGACTGATTTTCACGTGCTGAAATGTAAGGACTGTACAGATTTCTTGGATGCTATAGGCCATGTTATTCTGCACCTGTGCAGGAAAGCTAGTATTGTCAACTTAATGGTCTTATTCCAAATTTCACAACCGCACGGCTCACTGAAAAATAAGATTCTTGATCACGTGTGATGAACAAATCTCAAATACCTCTTAAATCCCATAGGTACAAGATGTTTCTTGACTATAAAATAGCATGTTAAGTCACTGTGTTATGGCACTCATCAGCTTGCATCATGGATTCAACTTCATTCACAAATTCAGGACAAATCAGTGCATTCTTTTAGAATTGATATATACATTAGCTCATCTTTCTAATGGACTCATGCATAAACATTATGCATTGTTGGTTATTATTAATAATGTATTGTATAACATCATTTTGTAATTAAAAATTTATTTACACAGTCTCTTAAAATTCACTTATATGTACAGTTTATAGGAAAGGGAATTAAATGAATTAGAAACCATGTTCCTGTAATTACAACAGATGTCTCTAAAGCATCTCCAGTGAATTTTGAATATGGTGTACTTGAAGAGAGTACTATAATTCTAGACCATATTATTGTAGGTCTATGACTATGTCATAACAGGTTATTTGTATTCTCAATTTGTTACAAAAAGGCTCCTAGTTATTCTAATAAGCATAAATGAGAATTATGTGCAAGTTTCAAAAAAAGATCTCAATCAATTCTTCACTTTCTTCATTTTTATTTGTCAGATACAATAAGCAACAGGATATTAAACAGATTCAGCTCATTTGACCAAACTATTGGTTGTATTGACACCAGAAAGAAATGTGCATTGTAGGTACTTATTCAGCACGAAGCTTCTTAATATAGCATGTGCTTCAGAAATCATGTTTTTCTGTGATAATTAAAGTGCTCAATAATTAAGTACTTCTTTTACTTATAATTTCTTAAGAAAAAGATGTGATATGGACTGGAAAGTGATGTTCAACTCAAATAAGTTAAAACAATTTGTGGTGAAAGAACATCCAGGTTAAAGTTACTTTGGAATCTACTTTCTGTAGGAACAATTCTATTGTCCTTGGGCAAATACATTGCCCATTACTTTGTGCTAAACTTCCATGAATATATCTTAATATTTTCATTGAATATAAAAAAGCATCATGTATGAGTAATCAAACAAAGAACACAAAAGTTAAATGGAGAATTGAGGGAATTTGTGTATGTGTGTGTGATTTAGAGAAACAGCAACAATAAAAATCTCCAAAATACCTGTTTTTATCTGACTTAGGTAACTTCAGGCAAAAGCACCATTTACTTTATTTCTGTAGCAAACTAGCACATTTTTCCAATTTGAAATAAATTCTCCCAAACATTGAAAACTATTCATCTTTTGAAAACATTTGTAAACTGCCTCTAAAAAGGCATTTAACCACTCTCAACTTGCTCCTGACAGGGCAGTGCATCCACGGTTAATGCTGGCTTCATTCCTGTTTGATGACCACGTTATTCACAAACCACAGAGCATGAAAGTGCCCCACACCTTCTGTGAAACAGTCTCTCTGCTTTTCAGAAGCTCGAAGAAACAGCTCTATACTTGATGCATAGAACGTGTAGATCATTAGAAGGAAAAAAAAAAAAAAACAGATTCCTAGAACAGGAAGGGAACATACGCTGTTCTTATGCAACCTTCTTATATTTCATAGGGGAAAACAGGGGCCCTGTAAATTGACTTATTCAACACCACACTGAATTATTGGCAGTGTCAGGAACTCTAACTTGGGTTCTAATTTTCTGACTACCTGCACTCTTCAGTTATTAGTCCATCTGGTGCACAGTGGTGCAGGTGTTACAATTGTTAAAATACTAAAACACTACCAGACTGACTCATCAACAGTTGTTCCCTTGCACCTCCTTAATGCTTCCTTTATGCCCCATCCCTCCTGGCTCCTCTCTGAGCACCTGCCCCCTTACCTGTGGTTTAGTGACTAAAGGAGGAATACCTCAGGGACTCTGGAACCCTATTCCTATAATATAGTACTTAGTATCATTGGTCAGGCTATGTCATATTGGTGTTAAATATTTCAGCCATCATTCCCTTATTTTTTCTACTCTACATACTCTCAAATTATGCAAAGATTGTGCATTTCAAATGTGAATGGAATGCTTGTCAATTAAAGACATAAAAATCATCAGGTCTTATGTGATAATGTGGTCAGAATATTACAAGATCTTTCTGTGGCCTTGCTTTCCACGGTTTGTTAACTTTGTTCCTCACTTTCAGAATTCACCATGCTATAACAGAAAGGGTCGGTTATACAAAGTGTGAAATTTCTTTTCTTTATAACCAATAATAAAACATCATCCTTTTTGCAAACATGAATGGCTCTTTCAATTGAATTCTTACACAATAAAACATACGCAGCTGGGAAAATACAATTGGAGAAGGCAGATCAAAAAGGGATATGGTTATTGATTAAATACAAATATCAGAATCTGAGAAGGCTCAGGTATTTTCTGCAATGATGAAGGCCTGTGATTACAAAAAAAGATAATGTTGTTCTTTAGTGGGACTTCTTAGGAAACAGAGTATTTTGATTTAAGGAAACACACCAGAATAAAAGAGATTTAAGAACATACAATCTTTATTTAGAATGAAGAACAGGCTTTTTTTTTTTCCTACAGCATTATAACCATATATCTACATTGTCTTTGCTCGGCTCAATGGATTTTTTTTATAAAATCATTGCTTCTGTAAAAGCTGACAAAATATGGAAAGCAATGAAGATATTAAGTTACACGTAACTTACTAATGAAATTTTCCCACTACATAAGCTGACAGGCCTACAAAATTAATTATCAATGCTGGACAGTCAAAGTTAATAGAGCGAAAGTCACTGCAGTTTTTTTTTTTTTTTTTCCAAGGAGTAAGAAAACATTCAGGCAGAGAAACTTTACAAATAGGAAACATCATGGGAGGGCATATTAGCATTTTTTTCAACATTAAATGAATAAATAGAATATATTTGATAGAATTCATTATCCAATGCCTCTAAATTTCTCTCTCTCAACAAAATGGAGAAAAATATTAATGTGTATACTTAAGGTTGTGTGATTGTAAGAATTTTGCCCACCAAATACTAAGTTCTCTCAAGCCACGCAAACCATAGACTTTGATAAAATGTAAATATTTGGTTTAAGAGTTTATTGGGTGTTCTTTGAAGAAGGTCTGTTTTAAGCTTAAACAGTTGGCACATGTATCCTCAGGTGAGCTGTGTAGAAAGGCAAAGTGAATAGAGTCAAACAAATTTCTAGTGATTATTATCAACATAGGGGCTGCACGTGGTGGTTCCTAGAATTTGGGGAGGCCAGAGTGGGAGGATCACTTAAGGCCAGGAGTTTCAGACCAGCCTGAGCAACATAGTGAGACCCCATCTCTACAAAAAATAAAAATGGAAAAATCAGCTGGCATAGTGGCACATTCCTGTAGTCTCAGCTACTCAGGAGGCTGAGGTAGAAGGATGGCTTGAGCCCAGGAGTTGGAGGATACAGTGAGCCATGATCACGCCACTGCACTTCAGCCTGGGTGACAGAGCAAGATCTGGCCCTCAAATTAATTAATTAATTAATTAATTAATATGTTAATATGGGACTAAAATTACACTTTAGGCCTTCTCAAACAGAGGTCTGGACAGCTCCTAATATTATAGGGAAGGAGTCAATAATGTGGGGAGAGGGCAAGAAATGCAGGTGGGGGCCAGAGCTGCATCATTATTTGGATAAATGTGCCACCTTCTGGTCTACCATCTTCATATGCTTCACAGCTCTGCTTTTGCCACTGCCACTAAAGCAGTGGTTCTCAATTGCCTCCCTTCCAATTTGACAAAGTCTGGAGAGATAATTGATGTCACAATGGAGGGCAGGAGACAGCTACTAGAATCTTGTGGGTAGAAGCCAGAAATGTTGCTCAACATCTATAAGGCACAGGACAGTCACCACTCCCCCACTCGCGCCAACAAATATCTAAATGTCAGCAGCATTTTACTGAGGCATTCCGTCAGTCTCAATTATCCATCACCAATTCACCTTTAGAAACTGTTGAAAATAGAATTGCTAGGCAAAACACAGGATGCTGAGTCAACTCTGAATTTCAGAAAAACAACCAACAAGCATGTCCCAAATATTACTTGTGACCTACTTAGACTACAAATATGATTCTTCTTTCATCTGAGATGCAATGCAGCTGGTGTTCCTTGTTTCTAATTGTTAAATCTGGCAACCCTATTTCTAAAGACTCCACATTTTGAGAAAGGGTCAACAGAAGTGATGAACCGTCAGCTCTCTCCCAGCCTCCAAGAGCGTAGGCATTGTTTATCCCTTTGGTGGAAGGCCAGGGCATTCGTTGGGCCACATTTTTACAATGTGGTGTAATTTAAGACAGGCGTGGGGATTCTGGCTTAAAGGTCATCTCCATTTTCCTTCTTGTCCGCAGGTTACACAGGGCCCATGGACCTGAACTACCTGGCCAAATCTCCTTCTCTGCTTCACATCTCGATTGGCAACTGAGGAGGACCCTCAGCCAAAGGGTTATCTTGATTCAAAGGGTGGGAAACAGAATCAACGGAGATCTAAGACACATTTTCTGATTCAATCCTTGGCCAGAAAGACCTGTATTAGAGGTGCTTGCACAGCTATAAGGGAGTATTTTCTCCTCTCCAGATATTTTCCTTTCCCTATATTTCTGTTAGGACATTTTGAGGGGAAGAGGGTAACTGGGAGGGTGAGATGGAAGATATTTTTTGGTCATGGATTGCAATACCATCTACTAAGATCCAAATTTCACCATTTACTCTTAGTATATAGTTAGGGGTGGACCAGAGAGATTGATGTGTTCTCTTCTCTACATTAATCTTACTTTTATTAATTTATTTTGCAGATGAGAAAAAAATCATATAGAAAATATTTGCTTAAGTATTTTAGGTATGTTATCACATTTTCTAAACAACCTCGTAAAATAGATTTTATTATTATTTCCATTTTTTTCTTAGGGAAAGAGTTTTAAAGAGATTAATTGTCCTAGGTCACACAGCAAATAAACATTATCAGAAGGTTTGAGCCCAAGTATGCTTATTCCAAAACCCCACCCTTTTAATCACTAAGCCTAAAAGTTACATGTGTGAAAAATGACCAAACCAAGATAAAGTTCAAGTAGTCACTTTTAAAGCATTCAGAAAAATTCAATAGCCATATTCAAAGAAAAACATTCACTGATAGTAAATGTTTTAAGAGTTGTTATCCTGTACAATGATTCGAATTTGGAACATCTTCAAAATGCTTTTAAGATACGTACCCAATAAGTAATAAATGCAAAGTCAATGTATTGCAATTTAATCCTTATGTCAGTAGCTTTGCCTCATTTATCTATGGTTACAAAGACTTACCTTTTAGTGTTCCATTTTAGAAAAGCAACTTTGATCTTTGCTTTAAGAGAGTCAATCATGCACAATACACCCAGGCCAGCCCCTCATCAGCATTCCACCAGAGGGTTCTAGGAGCATGAATTGTTTTTAATCAGTCAACAACACTATGCTCAAAAAATGCATTCTGATACTTAGACCTTTTATCTCAAAAGCTATACGGAAGCCAAGGTCACAGTAATCTCTTTTATGGTTTATTGTTCCTCAAATGTACTTAGAGTGAATTGACAAAGCCACAACTTATTTTGTGGATACAGAGCTTTCATTAAGTTCAGCACTCCCCAACATCCTCTTTGTTTCCTCTTTCAGCACTTTCTGCATATGGTTCCTCATTTAGTATCAAGTTCCCGTAAGATTTAAAAAAATAAATAAAATAAGAATATTGAACAATATTCTCTCAGTAGCTAAGCTACTCATCATTTGAAGTTGAGACTTTTCAGAAAGCTGCATTAATGTTTCCAATCACCGCAGTGTAGTTTGCAATACCAGGGGCAGGTCTCTGCACTCGGAATGAAGGCAAGAGGCCAGGATGGTCCCACTGTTGCCACTCTGCCATTGTTACGAACTTATAATTGCCAATGTGGGCATGGCAGTAAACCACTTGGCATATAAAGTGAATTTGTGAAACTACCCCCTGGGAGGGGTGCTGAAGATGGTTTTCTAAGTGTTGTAGAACAGCCTGAACTGTCCACACCCCAGGAAGTGGCTTATTAGCTCACTTTGTTGATGCCTTTCATTCTAAGCAATACACATAAATTCCTAGCTACATTTTTATAATACTGTATTAGCAATGTATTATAAGTAATTCTGTGCATAAAAGTATCTGTGTGGCACCAAAATTATCCTGCATGTAACCAATGGTACTGAATAATATTTTTGGAAAACACTAAGTCAAATCAAAGCAATAGTGAGACCAATTAGGGGGCCTGGTGAGAGGCTACTGCCCAACTTGAGGTAAGACCTAATAGTGATCTGGACTAAGATGGTGGTTGTGAAGTGAGTTCACAATTTATTAAGGAGCAGATGAAAAACCACTGAAGAATGGCAGGAGATTACATGATTAAAGTGGCGGAGGAGGATGATTGACCAGGCGGCCGTGTGCAGGACAAATTAAAGCCAGGAGAGTGGAGACTGAGAAAGGTGCAATTGCAATAAGGCATGGGGTGATGAAGGCTTGAAATAGAATGGTGACAGAGAAACAGGAGGGAAGAGATTGATGGGAAAGAAATTAGAAAAGGACCATTAGTCCTTTCTCAAACTCTTCTTATTTTAAGACTCAAATATTCCCTACTGTCTATCACACATATGAGTCATGAAGCCATTATTTTCATTAGGGAAGAAACGGGCTGGGGAGGGGGGAGTTCTATTCCAAGTGGAAAGTCAAGGTATATTTTTAGCTACATTAAGCCAGCCTTCTGCTGCTCTGCACACTGATGTAATTCCAACATAAAACATAATCTATAATATTCCAGGGGAACAAATCCAATTCCTGGTCATATAAATTTTCATATAAGTCCATCACAATTCATTCCCAAAACATCTCATTCTCTTTGAAAGCTGGAGCTGCAGCAAGTGATCAAAAAGAGTAGTTTAAAATTGCTCTGGAATTTCCAGAGATGCTAAATCTAACCTGCCTATGGTGCAGGACCAATCCTCCAAACTTTAAATCAGAGGTAAAGCATTTTACGTTTTAAAAGATATATTCCTCAAAGTTTATCATGGTATATTAAAGTCAAATGTGAGTTATTACTTACCAAATCTGGAGCTGATGTCTACTCTTGATTACCCTAGGTAGGCGAGAATAAGTATCTTCCAACCAACATATTTTTTACCTTTTCATCTGCCTCTTGCTATTTACAATAGAGTGAAAAATAATAGGCAAGGAGTGACTTTGCTGGGTTG